CTCTCACTCTCACTCTCACTCTCACTCTCTCTCTCTCTCTCTCACTCTCACTCTCACTCTCACTCTCTCTCTCTTTCTTTCTTTTTCTCTCTCTCTCTCACTCTCTCTCTATCGAATTTTCATGCCTCCGTGGTGGCATAGGAGGACTCGTTCACAGAGAAAATCTATACTACTTTGGATTTGTTCGCTTCCAGCAACTATACAACTATACGTAATATTTGTGACGAACGAGTGCTCTCATCCCACTGTGCTTGGATCGTCGCCCGTTTACAAGCGAATAGGCACTTTCTGCACGTTTATGCTCCCAGAAGATGCGAGACCTTAGGCCACTTTTTTTATTAAATTCTTTTTTCTTTGTAGAATATTTAAAAAATTGTAAAAACCAGGGCAAATTCATGGCCACCATGTAGACGGTCAAACGGATCCGACAAGCGTCTTACAATGTGACATCTTACAAACAAGATGTCCATACTCGCGGTCGGATGTAGTCGGTTCCAGTGTGAGAGAAGCCTTAGGCTGGCAAGTTGTCCGATTTTCTCCGTTTATGCCCAATTTCTTGCCTCTTCAACTCTCACACTGGAACCGACTACGTCCAATTTTTGAACTGAGTGAATTGGGTATTACGTCCGTTTGTAGAGATTTTCTGCGTTCGACGGACGATCTAAGGCCTCACTTTTAAGAAGAACAGAATTTTCATTGCATGGAAGCTTAAATAATCTTTTTACAAAACTTATACAACTCAGAATAAATTGATGCAGACGGCTTTGCCATTGCATGTAATTAGATGTACATTTTTTTAAGAATGTATTTTTTTTTTCAAATAAAACGTTATAATAATGATAGTGATAATAAATTATTTATATTGCTTAAATATTTATTCTTCAAGAGTGCACACAAAAAATTTATTTTTTCCCTTGGTCCTATAGATATATACTGACAGAATCACAAAATATTTATTGCAGGCACACTTTACATTGTTTACAAACGTCATTGACTTAAATTGACTAGTTGATGTTGTAAAATGTTATTATTTTTAAATCAATATATTTTAAGTTTTTGTATACTTAATATATTTAACACTCTCCTGGACGAGAATTTTTTATATTGATGACAGCACCGCGGGTTAGGAGGAGACTGCAGTAAAAATCCAAACTATTCTGGATTCTTCTTGGAATTCCTCCCTGAAGACGGCGCAATGTTGAAGCGCGTTTTAGTAATTCAACAAACACGCGAGTGACGACGGTCCGATTTTGGATCTGTTCGCCTCCCGCAACTAAACGTTATATTTCTAACGAACGAGACGGGCACAATAGACGCGAGCATGTTTTTGGATAGTCCGCCGGTTTTCAAGCGAATTCGCACATTTCTGATCCCGGGTAAACTTTTTGTAACATGATTTTTCATGAGTAGCACCCAAAAAATTAATTATTTCATTTCAAACAATTGCATTTATAATATCTTAAAAAAAAACATAAAAATTCTAGAAAAAAATGTTTGAAATGAATGCGAACCAATATGGAACAACTACTACTGACGGACAAACTGATCCGACACATCTGTTTTAATGTAAGATCTCACGACGATAAGCTGTCCGTAGTCGCAGTCGGATGTAGTCGTTTCCAGTGTGAGGCCAGCCCGCCTAAGGTAGGCTTAGGTCGAACACTGGAACCGGCTACATCCGACTGCGACTACAGACTATTTCACACATTGGAACGGTTTATTTATTTTTTTAAAATAAATCTTTTGAGTTTATTTCGCCTTGGCACAATCATGTTATGGGATTACGGTGTGGGGAGGAATTTGTAAGAATATATCACGCGCTAAAAATG